TTATGTATTAAACTACTATACATAGGAAAAACAAAGTCCTGTAATAAGTAAATTATATATACCTTCACTTATGTATTAAACTACTATACGTAGGAAAAACAAAGTTCTGTAATAAGTAAATTATATATACCTTCACTCATGTATTAAACTACTATACGTACGAAAAACAAAGTCCTGTAATAAGTAAATTATATATACCTTCCCTCATGTATTAAACTACTATACGTACGAAAAACAAAATCCTGTAATAAGTAAATTATATATACCTTCACTCATGTATTGTCTAGCTGTAATGTATATTGAAAAATTCATGCACACCACTTACTGTCAACATTCTGCGCTGTGTACGTTCGACGCTTCACGTTACCCTGTAGACAAACACTGTCATCCACTGACTTTGTTTTAAGTTGGGTGTGAAACTTCACAGTTATTACAGTACTGATTATTGTGTAATGTTCAAAACTTTCCTCTGACTACTGTCCTGATTATTGTGTAACATATGAAACTTCCCTCTTACTACCGTACTGATCAGTCTGTAAAATATGAAACTTCTTTGATTACTGTATAACATATGAAACTTCCCTCTGACTATCGTATTGATTATTGTGTAATATATGAAACTTCCCTCTTACTACCGTACTGATTATCGTGTAATATATGAAACTTCCCTCTTACTACCGTACTGATTATCGTGGAACATATGAAACTTCCCTCTTACTACCGTACTGATTATCGTGTAACACATGAAACTTCCCTCTTACTACCGTACTGATTATCGTGTAACACATGAAACTTCCCTCTTACTACCGTACTGATTATCGTGTAACACATGAAACTTCCCTCTTACTACCGTACTGATTATCGTGTAACATATGAAACTTCCCTCTTACTACCGTACTGATTATCGTGTAACATATGAAACTTCCCTCTTACTATCGTATTGATTATTGTGTAACATATGAAACTTCCCTCTTACTACCATACTGATTATTGTGTAACATATGAAATTTCCCTCTTACTACCATAATCAGTATCGTGAAATGTATTAGACTTTCTTCTGACTACCATACTGATTATTGTGTTATGTATAAACCTTCCTTCTGACTACCATACTGATTATTGTGTTATGTATAAACCTTCCCTCTGACTACCGTACTGATTATTGTGTTATGTATTAGACTTCCCTCTGGTTACTGTACTGATTATTGTGTAACATATGAAACTTCCCTCTTACTACCATAATCAGTATCGTGAAATGTATTAGACTTCCTTCTGACTACCATACTGATTATTGTGTTATGTATAAACCTTCCCTCTGACTACCGTACTGATTATTGTGTAATGTATTAGACTTCCCTCTGGTTACTGTACTGATTATTGTGTAACGTTTTGAGTACAACTTGAGTCCAGTCAGTACAGGTGGTAAGTGTGAATTATATGCATAAAATTTCACACTTACCCCTGTACTGACTAGACTCAATTTTCTGTGTAAAACTTCACACTTACCTCCCCGTACTTACTGGACTCAGTTCTATTTGTAAAAGTTCACACTTACCCCTGTACTGACTAGACTTAACATGATTCTTTCATTCAAAGCTAATGTCTCTCCTTGCTTCATCTTTATTCTCTTCTTGTCTAAACACTTCATCGCATACCTGTGAGATGCACTTTAAAACATCAGTAAACAACTTCAATAAAGCAGTAATCATTCAGACACAGAGCTTCAAAAAAGGTTAAATTTGATTATACAGTTACCTACAATGTCACACAAAATTCAAATAGATCATGTCAGCATATCATACCAAAACACACAACACAAAATTTGTTCAAAATACTTTCAAATGGAAAACTATCAAAGTTCTGCTTACACGATTCAGCAAAATCAAAGTAATATGAACAATGACCATCATAGAAGAAATTAAACTATGGAGAACTTCTGGCAGTATCTCAGATTCTTCTTATAACAGTGCTGTGTTATTGTGTACCATTAACTATTTTGTTCCTACGGTTTTATCAACATTATTTTGGAAGTTCTGGCTATCTGAAGCTAAAAAAAAAAAGTCTTATACTTAACGTCTACTTAAGGCTTTACAACAAGGTCGATTACAATATTACTTTTTCATACCGAGCATTTATATCATTAGGAATTCAAACGTTGACTTACATTTTTCCAGTGTCTGCTTTTCTACATCCATACACTTCCCCAAATCCTCCGCGCCCAATGATTCTGTGGACACTGAAGTCATTCATTGTTAACTAAAAACAAAAATATTAATTAGTTTCTTCTGGAAACTCTTTACAAATTTTTACTCATTAGGATGTTATAAAGCACATTAAAAAACTGCTCATGAGACAAAAAACATTACCACTTTTCACTGCTAATTCTAAACCAGATATCGAAAACAAACTATGCTCTAGAGAATTAATAAACTGTGTAATGAGAGCTTTCAAGAAAGTTTTAAGTTACCATGTATTAAGTATTACCTAAACAAAAAATAATTTCATTGGCTGACGTTTTATGCAAACTGATAGGCTTAATCAAAAATTAACAAACACACCACCTAATACAAATCTTAATCACATCTACTGATTTAGTCTTTAATTTTTAAATATTTTCCAGATTATTCAATAATGTTTTAATCTGTACCAGTTAATTACAATGATAGGCCGATACATATTATTTTTTAAAAAAATCAATATTTCATAGCAAATAAATTCCAATGTCTTACTTTATATTTTCTAAGGTTACAGAAATTATAACATTACAGGGTAAAAGAAACATGCTTTCTAAGGTTAAACAGAGGGTTAAGTAATTAAATCAAAATGATTTTGAATATCCAAATCAGCAAGTCACAAGACAACCACAGCTAACATAAAGTCTTGGTGGAATGGAATGTATCAAAACTACATTTTGCATTGGCACTTCATAAATAGTGTGAATGCCACCAAAAACTGATTGCTCTTGGGAAGGGTATGCAACAGCCCTTTCTAATGCAAATATTCATATACTCAGATCATGGATTTAGAATTTCCAAAGTGGAGATATCCCTTATATTTAATGCCACTATAAAACAAAGGAATATGGATCAACTTGGGGCACCAGAGCCATCCAGAAAGAGACTTACAACAAATCATATTCCAATCATGGTAAGCAAAGTACAGTATTTTATAACATTTAAGAATCAATCAACAAAAAGGTCAGTGGCAAAAGCTGTCCATGTGCCTCAGCCAACAGTATGCAACATAATCAAGAAGGATCTCTGCCTGGAAAAGCAACACAAGTCACATGTACACAAGATGCTTCCACAATATATCCATTGAACTGTAGCATACCTCAAGCATCTAGAGAATAAAATAGGTATTCAAGTTATTCCCCATGAAGACATACTGGTCAAATTAGTGGATCCACATCATATGGATTTCCACACAAGTGGACTGCTGAAATGGGCACAGAGAAACCATCCTCCTTGTACTATAGATGGATTAGTGAAGGTCTGCAGGGGGAATTGGTGTTCTTTGGACATGACAGCCCTATGCCAGATACTTTTGAAATGGAAGTTATGCTGCAGGTCTATTGTCAAGATGCATAGTCATCTGATAGAGCATGACTGGATGTGGTGACATGGACTGTGCCACACAAAATTGATTATTCTGACACAAAGAAACATAGTAATTTTACACATGAAACTAATTATTCATAATAAAAGTAGAGTAGTTATACAAGTTAGTATCTCTCAAATAAAAATCTTACCTGAATATTCAGTTCTAAATTCTTCCACTGACAAAACCTAGTGTATTTGTCACTGAAATTGAAATAATAATTTTATTCTTTAACAATTCTTGAAATAGCTTAAAACATCAACTCGTTAAAACATATACATCTATTTTGCTGCAATGATTTTTTCTTTACAAATGTGGTCAATCATAACTTCAATCCCTTTTGTTAGGCCTAAAAAATCCTCAATGTTTCAACAGTTTAAGAAATTTTACACCATTATAACATAAATAATGTTTAAAAGTAAAAACTAGGTATGCACGGGTACCCAGCCACATATTTGACCCCGGCCGAGTGTCGAAGTTAAAAATAGCCGAATCTGGATAATTGAAAATGCCATATGAGCACTAATCTTTGTGGCAAGTTACACAGTTTTGAAAGTCAATAACTGGTTTAGTCAAAAAAAATGTGCACCAACCAACAAAGACTGACCGCCTGCTGAGAGTTGTGGATCCAGAGAACAATAGAGGTTAATAACAGGCATGGCCTGAGAAGTAGATTTCTGGGGAAGGTGGGGTTTTCGAGACAATATGGGTTAGGGTTTGAGAAGTTGGGGCTAGGCATTAATCGGAATAATGATTCTAAAACGTGTCAACATGACTGTTTCTGCGTTTGCTTTCACTGGCCTCACTTTTGGAAGTCAAATGAAGCTCAATTTCCCACAACGGCCAGGATAGCAAGACGTTATCTTTTCTTACCTCTGACTAGTGTAGATAGCGAACGGGCTTTATCACACAAATGCAAAGTCAAGGGTTTTATCTGAAAATGCTGCTGTTCCTCATGTACAATTTAAACGAAAAAATACAGGCATTATGCAAACTGGTGTGCACATTTTTGTTAGTTAATTTTGAAAGTTGAAAGTAAAACTGGAATATTCTATTGGCGATTATTCGGTTAAATGTAATAAACATCAAGTTTTTTGTTTTTGTTTCTAACTTTTACGTATATTGTTTATTTTTTTGTGGGGTGGGGAGTGGAGAATCTGGACCAATTTAGCACCCGGCCCGGCCGAACTTTATTGGCTAAGCACCCGGACCACGTATTCGGCCAACTTTTACTACCAGTGCATCCCTAGTAAAACATATATATATATATATTTATTTTTTTAAACCAATAACAACTCTTCATGTTTTAGGTTACATAGTATGTAAAACTGTTCTATACAAGCAAAACGTGAAACATTCAAGAAACTCCCTGTTATTAATAATCACAAGTTACAAATAAGTACCGGTTTCAGTTAGATTTGTTATAAGACAGTGATAATTTTTAAACACTACATTTTTTATTCTGTCCCTTAGGAATTTTCTAAAAGCACGTGTTTAACAATATTTCGAGCACACCATATACATTGTTGACAAACGAGTTTGGCTAAATACCAGAGGCCATCAAGCCAGTTCGGATACAACAAACACCAGCTGTCGAAAAGGCTATTAATATAAAACTAAAATAAGCCTAATATGATTGTCTTATGACAAACGTAACTGATTATAATCACGCTTCACCAACAAAAGATGTTCATAATAATTACTTATCTTCATCTTTAAAATCATATAAATTCTTACAACATTCCAAAATACAAGTACCCCTTAATAAGGCTCAAACCTACAGCCTTCAACAAATCTGAGTAATATTGTCTTCTCCATACCTTTCGATAAACATTCGAAAGAGATCTCCTCGAAGGTGATTAAAAACCTCTGCTATATATGGCTGCAGAAAAACAACAATAGAGGTGCATTAGTTTAAAACTTGTATGAATTAACACAATAAATCAGTGACGCAGTTTTAACTATATTTTCCTCTTATCACAAAACAAAAACTTCAAAGTAAAATCAATCTTACTATAATGAACATACTGTGTATATAGGTATCTATGTATGTGACTGAAGTAATAAACACACTGTGGCACCATTTCACACTTTAGGTATTCAAGATTCAAACAATTAGAAAAATAACTGTGGTATGTGCAACAACCATTTTATTTATAATAGAACGCAGTTTTAAGTACTTTCCTCAAAAGAAGAACACGACATGATGGTTTCATTATATCTACATTGATGTAATTTTTAAATGTAGTTCTGAGAAAAAATTCCTTTTTTTAGAAAATGTTCACTTTTTCTAAAAATGTTTTCATTGAGGTATGAATACCACGATTAGTTATTACCAGCACAAACAGCTGCCCATAGGATGGCATTTCTGCTAGTATAAAAAAAACATGTTGTTTATTTCTAAATAAGCAATAATCATTATCTACAGTGATCAAACAAACTCTGAAAAAGTATTAAAAACGAAAATGTAATTATATTTTAGTTTTGATAGTAAGTAATAGATGGCACCACTTCCCAATTTAAATAAATTCTTCCTCAACATGTTTTATATAGTCTTGTTTAGTACACAATTTTGTTTCCATGTGTAGGATCTAAATAATTATAAACTTTGTACTTATAGAAAATAATCAATCAATATCTTTTGATAGATATTTCATAACTGGCAGTCAGAATCTCTCAGTTTCTGAAAGGCAAAAGCATAAGATGTTTCCCAAGAATCGTGAACAACATACATATCCAACTTTTTACTGTTCTGCTTTCAGATAAAGTTCTATCACTACAACACAGATTGTTCAAAAACAAATCACCTGAAACAGGTTAACTGGCACCTCCTTCCTCATTAAGTACTTCTGCACATGGTCAACAACATCTTTGGAATAATTCTGTGTAAAAACATCTTTTATTTAGTATGTCCTAATTTATTCAAATTATACAATTGTTTTAAGACAGAAAAAGTACAAAAGTTTTAATGTTAGTAATATCATATAAGAGAAAATTTTACCATTCAGCAATATGAAGAGGCACACCAGAGATTCTGTAAACCTATCATTTAATAAATCTAAACTTTAAGGTTTTTACAAAAACACTACCAGCAAATATGCATTATACTAATATTAAAGCCAGCAGGGTCCAGTACAGAAAAAAAACTTTCAGTTAGACTTGACACACGTACACATTGTTAAAGGCAACATTTAATTTTTAGCCATCAAATAGTTGTCAACTAGCAGAAAGCTATTTGATAAGTAGCTAGTGTTGATGATTTCTGGTAGCTCCATCTAGCTCTGGAGTGGCCAGTGATTTTTTACAGGTGGGCCACTTCACAAATTTTGGTAAGTCGTGATGAGCCCACACATTTCCCCTATATTAATTAAATTACCTCAACGTCCGATTGTATAAAGACTCCATTATGTTCTTTCCACAACTGCCAGGAGTCATGGTGGGCAGAAAAGAAATGTTAGGCGGGCCATATTTCATCCACCCCTGATCTAGCCCCGTTAATGCCAGTCAACATATTACAGAAAGAACTATGAAAGAAACCGAAAACTTGTCTTCATATTTACCCTAAATCAGCATTACCAGAAACTTCACACCACATCTAAAAAAATCAAATTCACGACGACACTATCTCTACAAGAAGATTCTGGCAACCATCTATTAGTATAAAATTTACCATAATTTTCCAATTTTATCGGTAAAATTTATTTCACAAAATCTTTGCTAGAATTTCATATTTAATGAAAGATAGTGCAAAATTGTCGGTTGTTTTCATAAAACTTCAGCAATAGCAGGTTACTGTGAGAGTTTTAATTTGTTCTGTTTTGCACCTCTACACTAAATACGATTCAGGTATTATTGGACCAATAAGAGAAAGAGATAGACTAATAACTCCAAAGAAAACAATCTTTACATGAGTATGAGAAAGTAGTTCCTTCATGATGAAATTGTCGTAGATCTCTCTAGCAGTTTGTCTCCTCTCTTCGACCGTTTCTAATTTTTCATATTTCTTAATCTGTAGTGAAAGAAACAAAACGTAGTCATGGTTTTACTGTTACCGACATTTTAAAAAATAGGAGAATTGTCAGACATAAGCTGTAATATTTCATAACTCATCTTCATAACTTTTTTTTTTTTAAGTAGTTAATTGTGAAAAACCTTTTGCTGTTTTTTTTGGAATTTGTAGTTAATACTAGAGGGATTTAGACATTTTGGTAATAAAGTTAGAAATAAAAAACAACCTTTGATCTCCAGATAATAGTATATAAAAAAAACTTTATAGTTCAGCCAACATTTCACCATTGCAGTTTTATCAGTTCTCGTACTAGTAAAGCTCTAATTAAACCAAAATGGCAAAACGTTGGCTGAAATATTTTTATTATTATTATCTGGAGAATAAATGTCTTTCTTTTCTAACTTTATTGTTATGACAGTGAAAAGAAGCGTTTGATTGTACACGTGTGACAGTGTACTCTCTGGCTGTATATATCTAGTGTGGTGTCTTACATCCAATTTAATGAACTTTTTTATGCTTTTTCAATGTCCATCAGATGATCTGATAACCTTTGTAGAAAGCAAAACATTTTTAACACATTCATAAATTCTGTTCTAAAAGTATATGTGGTTATACACTATTGTCTAATTTCAAAAAATAATAAAAACCTAGTTACTGTAAAAATTAACAGATGGTAGCACTCTACAATTTAAAATGAATATACTTTTCCTTGTAGAATTATTGGTCTTCAAAGATTTAAGTCTTGATGAATACTCAATTTTGCTCAAACTTTTGTGATTCTGTTGAGCATTGTTTAAAATCTATATTATGTTGTTAGACAGTATTTCACTTGGAGTCTGCAAGAAAACCAAATAACTTCAAACAGATTTCATTAATTGAAATGTAGCTTTCATGAAAAAATTTGGTATTTTTGATTACAAAAAACTTTGAATTCATCAGCGTTTCAATTGAAAATCACAACCACAAATTAAATTAACAATCTAAACCTGTTAAAAATAAATTATTTCCTATCAGGAAATGCTCTTCAAAGTTTTAAACTTTAAATTAAGGTTTTATTGGTACACTGTCTTGAATCTTACCTAGTTTTATCACTATAATCAAAATACACTATACAAGTTCTGATGTTGGATTACTTATTAATTCAAGTGAAACAAAATGCAAGTACTGAAAGAACATCAATGTCGGGCATGGCTTCCACACACCTAACTGTTTAAAAATTATTAACAAATAAAATTACTCAATGAAAAACGTCAGCTGCATTAAAACTTCGCTACCTAAAGCTAACAAAACAACCATATATACCAAAAAGTAAAGCACCATCAACAGGCTTAATATTCCTGTAAAAACTTTAGATATCAAATATTTTCTCACATTCCTGTTAATTATTCCATTATGGAATCCAAACCAGAGGTGTTAATATATAACATTTTACACTTAATTTTTGTTTGCTACATGTCGCTAACCAGAAGGTTTTTCATTCAGTATTTGAGCTTTTCAGCTGGGCTGGATATGATGGTTTACAAAAGTCTAATGAACATCATGTTATTATGAAATATACTTGTTAGTTCTATTTCTCAACAATACATAAAAAAACGGGTTCAGTAAAAACACATTCTATTTATATCGGTTGTAATTCAATAACTGTCTGAAGCCGTGTTGTTTGTTTGTTAAACTTCATGCAAAGTTACTCAAGGACTATCTATGTTAGCCATCCCTAATTTTGAATGATACACTAGATGGAAGGCAGTTAGTCAACACTATCCACCACCAACACTTGGACTAATCTTTAACAAATGAATAGTGGGATTGACCATCATATTATAATGCTCACACAATAGAAATCCCTTGCCCCACACATTACTAGTCAAGCTCCCTAACCACCAGGTGATGCCACATTAAGGCACTTGTGGAGACTGGGCAAAATATAAACTAGCGGATCTCCCCATGCTTTTAAGAAAGTACCATACAAATTGATAAAGTGAATTTATTAATGATAAAAAAAAGAATATTAAAAAAAACTAGTTTATTTATGAAATTAAATAAATCAAGGATGCTCCTCTAACTCCCACTCCTGACCACACTGCACTCTCACAGTGGGCCCTAGACAACTGCCCCTTTTGTACATTGAATAAAATAGTCCTGGCTACAATGGACAAATTAAAAGGAATCTGAAAAATCTGCAGTTAACTAGTTTTCGTAACAGTTATACTATAATCTTCAATTTAACTAAATTTTAAGCAAAATGCTAATAGACGCGTTAGGCCTATGCACAATCTCAGCTAACTATACAGGCCTAATGGCTAATGTAACAAGTTACTCTGAAACTTAAGTAATTTCATACAATTTCATTTTTCTATTTAAATTAGAGGTTATTTTTCATGTTATCAGTATAGAACTGACAGCTTTTAGGCCTTTTTTGTTCATATTCTGCAATTTAATAAATTTATCATAGGCTTAACTGAGTATAGTTACTATTACATTAGGCTTAAGCCACATAATACTTAAGATTACTGTTAGGCTTAATGTATGTTAAAACTTGAAGTTGAATATGGTTTATTTATTTACAGAGTTGGTGTAGGCTATAAGCCTATATTTTGCTAAAAGTAAATTTTTACAACCTACACGACATTTCATCCGATAACGTTATAAAGCTTTGCTCGTTAAATCAAAAATTAGGCCCATAAGCTTTACTTGCTGTTTAGTGTAACAGTAACGTATAACTAAAAGTTTCTACAACTGTTGTACTTTAAACTTGTCATCAATTGCAGTAACAACTATCATTAAATTGAGAATCAATAATTAGTCCTACCATATATTATAGATACGGTCTGTGAAAATATGCTAACGAAATGTACAGTTTTAATTATTGTTTTTTTTTTACAACCACATAAAAAGTGGTACTATTTTGTAACATTAAAAACATATCAGAAATTTTATCATGCATTTCAAGAAAGTGATATCCAGTAATGATAATCAAAGCCATTCCTAGTTCCCAATGGAAAAAAACTTCATACACATAAATATACGTATATATTTCCTCGAAAAGGGGTCAAAGGCTCCCTGGAAGAGGCACCTATTTTAACCACTCGCACCACTATATACGTGTGTTGTTCGTCAGTCAGTCAGTAGACACTAAAATGAAATCACATAAAGTACGCTTAACAGTGCAACTTGAACAGTCGTGACGTCAGTAAAACGTGCGCATGCCATGAATCACGAGAAGAATTATTCACTTTGTAGGCTACAACACAGCATGACATACCAATTTAAAAGCAAGAAATAAAATATTTATTAACTCTTAATTTTGGTTTTATTTACTCTTGAAACAAAAAACTTTCGGGGACCCTGCGGAAGTACATCTAGTAAAGTACCACGCTTTTGAACAGGTGCGTTTTTAACACAAATAAATTTCTGATATACGCAATAACAATTGAGAATTCTCATAAATCATCGTTTATAAAAATTTCTTTCGGAGGTAAAAAAGACAATATTGGTATAGAATTCGTCAAAGCATTTAACTTTCAAGAAGGTTTATGTTACCATTTAGTTTTTTTTTACAACTATAATATTAATTACCTCAGTAGAGGTCATAGTTGTTTGTATTTTACTGTTAAGCGCAAAGCTACACAATGGCCTATCTATTCTGCCCACCGCGGGTATCGAAACCAGATTTCTAGAGTTATAATTTTGCTACTCTAAGCAGTACCTTTAAGAAAGTTGGACAAATAACATTTTTGTCTCTTCTGTCTATAATATTAAATACCTAATTAGATATCAATAATCCAATATAATGGAAGAGAAAAAAAAACCCTTAAAAACGTCAGAAAAACTGATGGACTAGAATTTTTATATCATTAATAAGAGCAACGAATCTTCCAGTTTAGAGAATTCCTTATAACACAAAATTTTGTTTTTAATTAGACACTCAACGTTTCCCTTTACAGACTAAAACACAAACCGAAACTGACAATAGAAAGCTCCAAATGGTTTAAATTATGGTCGATAATTTCTTGTATCAATATGTCTTCTATACACCAGTGTGCATTACAGAAATTAAAATCTCTTCAGAAAAAAAGGTCCATAATATTGCTTACTGGATTTATATCAGTCGCAATACATACATCATTAAATAGACATATGGATATTACAATTGAAAGTTCGATCTTATCCGGATAAATAAATGTAAACAGGAAGGTTTTAAAGGTTATGGAAAGTCAACTTTTACACCGAAAACCACAAACGTTTCTTAAGAGGCCAATTTACTTCTGAGATTACTACGCACTTTATAAACAACCGACAAAGTTCCAGTCAGTTTCACTAGCACCACATAGTGGCAGCGCCGTTCTATGTCATGACTTTGGCAGGTGACAAATCACTATTAGTCACGACCCTGTAACTTTGCCAGAGTTTGACGACTTTTTTTTTTTTTAATACACTTGTAACAGCCAAACGTTTCATTAGTTTGCGATCAATGGTATAGGCTGCCAATTCTATACACAAACTGTTAAACACAAATAAAAATAAACACGTGCGCGTGGCTAAGTTGAAATATAACAGACTGGTGGTTAACATTTTGATATCAAACATTTGCTTCAGCAGTGGTAAGGACCAATTAAGTACGTAACAATCAAACAACAATGACGAAGTATACTTAAGTAGGGTTTTCTTTACACTCACAAAAATGTACTATGTTAAAAACAAAAGTCCACTCACAAGAACACTTACCTTTAAGGGCAGGTTGTATTTGCAGAGGGTATTTATAACAGCTGCAACTCGAAACATGTGCTGTCGTAAATCTTACATTCAGATAGCACCCGTCTGTACACTTGGCATTAGAAAAAAGTTGTAACAGTTGGTTTTTAAGTAAACATTATATCAATTGGTTGGTTAAAAATTGATTATAGTCACAGTAAACAGGAATCGAAATGCATGGATTAATTTTAGTCGCTTTAATGTCTAGTATTTTAATGGGAATAGGGTGAAGGATCGGTAGCATTCAA